AAGCGCGATCAACTGATGGGTACACAAGTGGATTTAATACAGCTTGTAGCTACAAGTTTGCATATTGGATTTGTGAACACAGCCCAAGAGACGGAGGGGCTCATGCAAAGACGTCCTCAATTAGTGTTTTTCTCTGACTGAAGGAAAGTAATGTGAAACTCAATTTACGATATGAGGCAGTTAAATCGAACAAATTTATAAGCGCAGACACCACTGATCATAATGCTGGCTAAAAGACTTAATTTAAATTAAATTTATTTATAAATTTAAATGAATAATTTTACACACACACACACACACACTAAACATCAAACACACACAACACACATCACACACACACACCAACAACCTCACACACACACACACAAACACACCACACGGGAAAGAGACTATTACCAGAAAAGCTCAAATGAGAAAATATAAATCAGGAGTTCTGGACACTAATGGAAAACAAAATGGAGAAAAGATGAAGGAACTTAATGAATAAGCGAAGAAACTCAAACGAAATGGAAGCAGAACTTTGTTACTCTGTGACTTCTGAAAGACAGAGAAGAAACACTGCGAGCACTGGTTGAAATCTAAAACAAGCCAATAGAAACGGTGACATTGCCAGATATATATTTATGAGTATGAGAGCAAATGTAGTCCTAATATTTGGAAAAGGTAACTGGCAGGTGGATTTAAAACTACAAGTCACAGTTTTGACTATGTTTAGGTGATTGATGAAACAACATGATCGCATTAAAAAATGGCTCCCGCATCTTGACAATGAGGATTTAATAAAACAACAATTATCAAGTTTCTAGATTGGTATAATCCTGTACTACACAAACCGCCTGAGTACTATGACACCAGGTAAATGAAATATGACCAAAGAGCCGAAAGCAATGAGTGGACCACAAAAATGCGGTTAGCACGGTACGTTAAAAGCCGAGAAACAGAGAGGAGGCCAGGAGGCAGGGAATAACGTTAGTAAGTATTGTAATTTTTCAGTGTGTTCCTTTTAGGATGGTAGACAAATTAATGATTCCAACTATGTGACATCAGATTGGAAAGTGAATATGTGGGGTTCCACGAAGTTTTGTTCTTGGGAGCACTAAACATGACTCACGTTACTGGGTAATGTTTTTTGAAGCACTGTGCTTACTCTCTTCGAAGTATGCTGAATTCTTCGAAAGAGAGTGGGGTAAGTGATCTAAATTGGCCTGGAACTCTCCTGACATAAAACCATCTGAGAATCTTATGTCAATCAATCCAATGCAGGATTACGAGATAGAACTGTTCAAATGTGTAGAGAAACTAATTGCTGTTACTATTAGGACCTGGTACACGACGAGGTTCTTGTCAAATGTTGCTTACATTGGGTCAATTCTAAGTCAAAGCCTGTAAGCATTAAATATTAAAGCAAAGGACAAGTCAGATTCTATTACAGTCAATTATCGGTCATATCATTGCCGTGTATTTTTCAAAAAAAACATTAATTTTCCAATAAATGTCTTATTTCATACTGTCCCATTAAAATGAAATAAAATAATGCTGGAAAAATGTGAATTTTTAATCACTTTCGTGAATTCTCACATTATCAAGGAAATGTATAAAAAATATATTGAATAGAAGAAGCTTATAAGGCTGAGACATACTTCACATACGACCCTATACCCAGACCCAGTATTATGCGGGTGTGAGGGTCAAGATATTTGTCAGTGAGATAATTTATGGGGTCATTGTCATGCACTGCTTAAATTCCTCACAAATTTTTTTATTAACGAATCTAACTTTATTTAACCTGAATACTATTCCCAATCATGGAGAGGTCCTTGACGCTGGTACGGTGGCTCTTATCAGGGCTTGGATCTGTGCTCCGGTTCCCTGAATTGAGCCTGAATACCTTCCATCCCCCCCCCACATGCGCTGTATAATCCTACGGTTTTTGCGCTTCCCTGTGATCATAATATAATGATCTACTATTCCATATTAATAATATTATTTTTATGAAGCTTGAATTCAGTTTGATAAACTTTCCAGGACTTTAGTAAACCAACTGGGTGGTTTTTTTTTTTAAACTCTCTCATATGAATAAAACAGAGAAGTTAGAATTACTATACAGTTATGATGCTGTTTTTATGCTGTTGTAATCTTAGTTCAAGACTTTATCCAGTTTGATCCTGCTAAACTTTATTGTATTTTTAAAAGGGAATCTTAAAGACTCAGCCATCAGCATTTTTGGAGAATTCTTTATCAATTTTTTACTGCATCGAGATTTAAAAAAACCAATTGGATTTTAAAATTCTTTAAGTTTGAGAAGGTATATCAATGTTTTTCATGTAAAGGAGAGCCAACATATTCTTGGTTGAATATTCTTGTTTGTTCTTTTTCGATTTGATATTATTATTATTATAATCAAAAAGAAGCGCTAAGCCACAAGGACTATACAGGGCTTTCGATTTGATAGCTCTAGGCCTTTCGTGTTGAAATCAACACATCATCAGAAGCTTGGAAATTGCTGAAATGAATAGGAAGATCAAGAAGTTTCATTAATGGGGTAATAACGAATTCTATCTCAGCTGAGGTAGATGACGCCAGGCAGTACCCAGGCACCGCAGTGCCAGGAAAAAATGAAAGCAGAGTACTAAAAAGCAGTAGAAAAACAATCCAGCCACTGCACTCACGAAATCGGTTTATATACCATGATTGTAAACAAATACGGCATGGGTGGGGCTCAAACTCACGATTAGTGGTAGTCGTTAAAACTACAGGGGAGTTTGAGTCCAGCCACCAGCTAATAAGTATATTGTGATGACTTTGACGAACATAACATCAGTGACAATTTCAATTATCAAATAAATTCCGGTCAGATTTCGATACAATATAAATGACTATGTTCTTTTCCTAAAATGTTTAAATATATGTTGACAACTGTTTTAGGATAAAATTTCCTGTAATATTAAGGGAAAATGGGGCTAGAGCTGAATCAATTAATCAAGACGGGCGTTGTCTATATTGCTTTTCACGAGGGAAGACTCTATAGTTCTTCTATTCCACCAAGCTCTTGAGAAGACATTGGTTCTATACACAGAATCGAGCAGGGAATAATGCCTCTCTCTTACCTTAAAAATTTTTTTTCCTCGGTATTTGGAACTATGACGCTTAAGACAATTGAACTATTGAAAGCATTGCATAGGATTCCAGCTTCAGGTTATGCATGATGGCCATCCAGTTATATAAACGAATCATTTTTGTATAAGCTGAATGAACAACTATTTTATATAATGAAACGTTTATATCCTATAATATTTATTTTTTCAAGCCATGAGGGGTTCAAGGAACTAGGTATATGGCTATCGACCAATTTGCAGGAAAGGTTTGTTACAAACCCTGGTGTGGTTTGTTGAATATTTCTGTAGATTCCTGAGCTATTGGTATCGAATAATTGGTGTTGTGTTAGCCTAACATCTAGAGGTTTACCTATCTGTACCATGTAAGATGAGTTGCAGCCATTTCAACCCAATCCTGTATGCCACCGCCAACCAACACGTGTTTTGAAAGGGAATTGTTGATTCAAAATTGCTTGTAATAGTCGCGGTGACATTCTTTAAAAACTCTTGAATGTTGATATCTTTATAGGGCAGTCGGCGGACAGAAATTTCTCATTTGTATGGGAGGGATACAACAATTTCTAAAATGAGGTATTTATCCTAGGTTCAGTCTTATGGTTAAGCTTTTCCTAGCTGCAGCAAAGCCTTCTACGTTCTACTGACTTCCTTGGGTTGGTAACGTTGTTTTTAGTAATTGAAAATTTTCTTAATTTCCTTATCAAGAAACTCTGGGATGCACTGTACACGATAGGTTATCAGGTACAATAGTGAGGAAGACATTCCTTTGTCATTCTTGTTTCAATGGTTAGGTAGTAGTGGATATAGAGCAAACCATTTGGGGTCTTTCCTACATTACTGTTCAAATTAAAAACACTATCCAACCCGTGTGGTCAGAACATCTAATTATGGAAAGATTGAAGTCCCACTTGTTTCTCCAAGTGGATTTAATATTCGCAGACAAGAACGTTATGCTTTGATATTGTTTAACAAAATGTGTTTTTGGTCCTTTTCATTCTGCCAAAGACACAAGATGTCATCCACATATCTGAACTACTTAGCATCACGGGGAAGGATATCTTTCAGCAGCTTAGGTCTCAAAAAACTTCATATGCAGATTGCTTAATAGGGGAGACAATGGATTTCCCATAGCCATTCCCTGCCTTTGAGCGTAATATTTCCCTTCAAATTCAAATTTGTATCCAAGCACACACAACTTAATAAACTCAGTAATGGTGTTCTTATCGAACAGCAGGGAAAACTCATCTAATTTTTCATCCAAATAGAATAACAGATCAGGAACCAGAACACGGGTAAACAACTCAGTGACATCAGAACTTACTAATGTAAAATCATTGGACATATTCAAATTATGCGGTTTGTCAGTGAGATCAACATTGCTTTTTACGTGGGTTTCAGAAATGTTGCCAGACATTGGAGTTAAAACTTTTACTAACGATTTGGACAATTTATAGTCTATGTGTTAACACCGAGATGTTACAGGTTCTCGCTGGAAAACCCGGATTTGAGTTTATATCAAATATACATATTACAGGAGTGTCTCTGGAACTGTAACTGACAGTTGTTTAATCAATTCCTACACTACTCTCAGTTAAAGTTCTAAGTTGTTTATTTAATTATTTATTTAACTGGTCCATAGGATTTAATTAAGGGGCACGTTTGTTCCCGGTCCTTCTAATAACATGTTCATTTTTCCACTATATCTATCTTGTCCTTTAATTACTCTCGCTTTGCTTTGCCTATAATTGCGTAAGGTGAATGATAAGTCTAGATATTTCATTTAATTCATGCATGATTTTCAAATTTTGAGGACAATTCGGTTTCCACACGGTCTGAGAAAGCCCCACATGCCATGGCACCATTTGCAAATGTTGAATCTACAACGAGGAGTATTTAAAATGATTGCTTAGCTATACTCTGCTAGCCCAAAAAACAGAAGAATCATTCAAAAGACCACGCTATGATTTTCAGTTTTATGAGGAACATAAGTATAGAGGAAATCAGAAGTAGGTCTACTGGCCTAGGCTAGACAAGTCCAACACACACCCAACTCAATCCCACTCATTTATCTGTCTATTATTTTTTTAAAAAATAAATAAAAATTAATCCATGTTAAGCGCTAAACCCAAGCGAGTCATTCAGCGCAAGACGTGTTGGAGGCTCGATCCTCCGTCTGGTGAGCAGAATGAAAACCTTTATCGAGACGTTTAGCTCTTTCAATAATTCTATTTAACGTTCTTATTTTATTCATTATGAGCAACAGAATTCTTAAACAAATAAACATTAAAACTATTTTTTCGAACTAATGGAAAATGAACGTAATTTGACCTTAAAAACTGCAGCAGATGCACATATGATTCATATATGGTTTTACCTCTTTAAAAATAAAACAGTATACAACTTACGATAGTTTGGAAGGCCTTGACCCTGAGAACCATGGGCTCGCGTGCATTAGCTAGTACAGACCTCCTCAGAACAGCCTCAAACCTGTTCCCCACCATCCTGCCTTGTTTAGGGACGGACTTGTTCACCGTAAATTATAACGGTGATCACATATCACAGTCGACGTTAAAAAATTGAATATTTGTGAAAAGTTCAATTTTTAAATCAATTTTCTAGTATTCTTAGAATGAGCGAATGTATATAAAAAAAATCATCAGTTGATTAAATTTTAAAGCTTTTATTGACATATACGGTCATGATCGCGCGAAACTGAATGTCTTACCTCTGATATGTGATCTAGGTAGACATATGTGGCATAAAACCTCTTAAGTGACCAAGTCTCTCACAGGTTACATAGTCACTCATAGGTGTCTTAGGCCATCACAAGTGACCTAGTCCCTCACAGACGACCTAGTTCCCTCACAGGTAACCAAATCCCACACAGGTAATCTAGTCAAGGGTGATCTAGTCCCTCACAGTTGACCTAGTTCCCTAAGGATGACCTAGTCCCACACAGGTGACCTAGTGAGAAATGGAACTGAGGTCGTACCAGAAGTGCCGTTTCTACCTGGAACCTCAGTAGCTGGTGCTAATCTGGTTCAGTCAGACCAAGTGATGAAGTACCACGGGAAGTGACCAACCCAGAAGTGGGGTATTTGGAGGCCTTTGTAACCTCTAGAGAGAGATAGAACACCTGTCATGGTCTTTAAAATCTTTTGGTATGTGAAGAAAGGAGTGGTGGTTGGTAATCCTCAAACTCGAGTCTTGTTATGGGACTCTAGCCTCCATGGAGGAATACGGTATGAGGTTTGTTCCCATGGGAGGTGACCTCGGATATATAAACTGTGGGGTGCGCAGCTACTTTGTGGAGTTAGCCGAAGCCAGTGTGTATAGGGGTTTCAGGACCTGTGGCTAGATGCTGGCTGGCTTTTCCGACCACTGCATCAGTCTATTCAAATCTTCCTGGAGTGCTCTAATGTCCTCGTCAGAATGAATTCGACTGCCTATTTTGGTGTCATCGGCAAACTTGCTGATGTCGCTCTTTATGCCCTCATCTATGTCGTTTATGTAGATTGTGAACAGCAGGGGGCCCAACACTGACCCCTGTGGAACACCGCTCGTGACGCTTCCCCACTCTGATTTCTCCCCATTTATGCAAACTCTCTTCTGCCTATTTGTCAACCATGCCTCTATCCAAGAAAAAATTTCTCCTATTCCATGTGCCTTAATTTTCCTCAATAGTCTCTGTTGTGGGACCCTGTCAAAAGCCTTACTAAAGTCCATATACACAATATCATATTCATTACCATGATCTACCTCCTCAAATACCTTAGTGAAAAAAGTTAATAAATTCGTAAGGCAGGAACGCCCCTTTGTAAAACCATGCTGAGATTCGTTGATTAATTTGTGCTTTTCAAGGTGGCTACGAACTGCCTCGGCAATTATTGATTCCATAAATTTTCCCACTATGGAGGTTAGGCTTATTGGTCTATAGTTCGAAGCTAAGGACCTGTCACCTGCTTTGAAAATAGGTATCACATTTGCCATTTTCCACTTATCTGGCACCATGCCAGTTTGTAGTGATATATTGAAAAGATTAGCCAAAGGTTTGCTAAGCTCCTCTTTTCATTCCTTTAGAACCCTTGCATACAGTTCATCAGGGCCTGGTGATTTGTTAGGTTTTAATTTATCTATTTGCCTAAGGACCATGTCACTTGTGACCCTAATCGTGCACAGTCTATTATCGCCCTGTTCTACATAATTTATCATTTCTGGAATATCGCTGGTATCCTCCTGTGTAAAAACTGAGAGGAAGTACGTGTTAAAAATTCTACACATTTCCTTATCACTGTCAGTGAGTGACCAGGAACTTTTGAGGGCCTATCTTTTCCCTGATCTTACTTCTGTATACCTGAAAAAAATCTTTTTGGGGTTTGTTTTTTTC